TATTACAACTCTGCTGATGAATATTTCTGACAAATTACCAGACCCAGGACAGACACTGTCTTCTCTCTGTGAAATATATACTCATGAAATTTATATTTTGGCGTTGGTTGAATAATGTAGCGTTGAATTCGTAAAATACCTTTAGAAGATAATTAAGACATTGTATCTATTTGTCCCCCTAGCAGCCTCTTCTTACCCAGCTTATGGGGTAAATTGAACTAGGTGACAAATTTTTGAAAAACATTAAAAAACATATTTCTACAATGATGAATAAGCTGGGAGTTTTACTGATGTTAGTCAGATAGTTGTTTGTTTGATAAGTGTTATCTGTTGTGATATAATTGGTTTGGTTTTCAGTATATAGTTGCTCAGAGTCAAATAGGACTTTTGGAGGGCTGAAATCATGGGTATGGTCAGGTGCCAATGATTTGACACTCCTAATTCATCACCTTCTAGAATTAAAATTTTATGACTACTTTCAATTTTTTTTTTTTTTAATTCTCAATACATTAATTAACTTGTATAAAATATAGATTTATTATTGTTTGCCTTTTTTATGGCCTTTAGTTCATGGTATGCTGATGTAAATAATCGACTAAGTGGGAATTGAAATCTATTTGCCAACATCAGCGAGGCATGAATTTTGATCAGTTTTCCTTTTCAAATAGTTCCTGAGTATGACGCCCATGGCTAAATATGTTTACACATAAATTTCCATGAACGATTGCGGTCAGTGAACAGAAAAGCGTCTTTAGGAATTTCTGGGCACAGTGTATCTATAATCGACTGTTATTCCATATTACTTGTTCACAATCATGTATATTGTATAATCGCAAGGACACCGTGTGCGGGAATTTATTGTGGCGCGACCTTTCACAAAGTACGTACTTATTTATAATAGATCATAAATCATACTCAAGATGACAGAGCAAGCCTGAAGTCAGATGAAAAAAGGAATATGTAAAAATATCACAGATATTTATTTTAGTTCTCCTCAAGCGCAGATATTTTCTTGTCAGCGCTGCGCGGTTTGTATTTACATTGTATAATTTTCATCGTTTCTTTCTACGGAGTTGTCATTTTTTTAACGCATTTAGCGTTTAAGAACTTTCCTCTTTACTTTATTATATAATGCAAATGCAGATAATTAATATATTATGTGACAATATCAAAAAAGGTTTGGATGCATCGTTTAAGTTAGTTCTTGATGCTTTTGCTTGCTTTGCAGCAGATGCGTATATAGGTTCCTTTTTGTACAAGTTTATTTCCGAGCTCAATTTTACTATGAATGAAAACTCAAGATCTTTTTCAAATCATATGCTTTTTAAAAAAAACAAAATGGTTTTCAAAATAGTTTTTACACAAAATACATTTAGTGTTCACAGAGAAGATGTTTCACACCTTTTATCACATTAAGCTTTATTTATCCCACTGGGCAGTTGCTTCAAAGTTACAATTTGTTCGCTTTTCTTGAATTTTTTTATCCAATGTAAATCCAAGGCTGCAATTCCATCAGTTTACTCATGTAGTTATATACCAAGTTGTTATAATATTAGAAGAAATATAATGTATATATTTCGATGTTAAAAAACCAAACCAAACCAAATCTCATTAGATAATATATAAATGAATTTTTCAACGATACTATTTTAAAGTAGACGGCAAAAGATGTAAAACTAGCCATCATCTTAATTTTTACTATAAATCGCTATATAAACAGCCATATTTATCAAAATGGCTGTTTATTTATCAATTTATTTATCAATATTTATAACAAGTATTTTTTCGTTGGTAGTTTCTTTGGTTTTGAGCTTTTTTTATTCAGTTTCAGTTTTATTTAGTTTTAAAGTAAACGTTATCTAATTGTTTTATAAGATGCATCTTTATTTTTAAGTTAGAATCAACAGATTTTTTATATAAACCTCAATAAAAGCTTACATATGGGTGAGTTAAACGGACCATCTAAACTTCTACACTGGCAAAGTGCAAACAATAAGAAAATAATAAATTAAGTTGAAACAAACAATTTTACAAGAGATAAATTAAATTAATAATTCTTCCAACTATGTTGATGAATATTTGTGACAAAAAACAGATCAAGCTTATACCATGTAATTTTTGTCAAAAATGTCTTTCTTTGAAATTAAAAATAAGGCAATATCTGTTTGCCCGATGGCTGTCTTTCGAAGCGAGTAAGCGCCGCGTTGCAATCTGACTTATAAAATTTATACTTATAATTGAAATCTCTATGAAATATCTGATCATTTACTTTTATTTTATTAACTTCCCGTAGGGTAAGTTATTGTAATGGGCCGAAAATCGGAATTGAAAATTTTTACATTTCTCGACGTTTTGAAGGTTTCTGAACGTTTTGGCATACTTCAGAAAAAATGGATGTGTGTGTGTGTGTGTGTATGTATGTGTGGATACAAAATTTCGCCCACGTTTTCGGGCGTACGGATCAACCGATTTGAATGGTTTAAAAAACATTCGATTCCTATTGATAAGGAGATGTGCTGATTAGTTTTTGGCAAAGGCAGGTCCAGCAGTTACGGAGATAAGGAGCAAAGAGTGCAGAAAATAGAAATCGAGTTTCTGAGAGAACGGAGCATCCGAATTGAATGATCTAAAAAACATTCAATTAGTAATGATTGGGAGAAGGGGTTATTAGTTTTTCGCAAAGGCAGGCCCAGCCATTTCCGAGATACAGAGCTAAATGTACAAAAAATGGCAGTTTTTGAGAGAACTAAGCGTCCGATTCAATTGATTCAAAGAACTTTCTGCTTGTCTTAACAAAATAATTGATTTTGGAATATTTTTTTTTTTTTTTTTTTTTTTAATTTTTTGTATATCGAAAATAATTCAGATTTTATTTTTAATTCTGACTATAGTTATAATATACTTTAAACAAATAATTTCAACTCTGCAATTCAGTTGATATAATTCTTATAAATATTAGACAATGTTACAATATTTATAATAATTTATTTGAAAACTTTCAATATTCCTCGAACATTTCGTTACGGTACGGGAAGTTCCAGCAATTTGCCTTAAGGCACGATGCCACCCACCCCACTAGTTTACTTTTTTATTGGATCTCTAAAACCGCTAGACCTGCCTTTGCAAATATTCAACCAGTTCGTCGATACGAATAAAATGTTTTTTAAATCATTCAAATTGGACGCTCCGTTTTTTTAAAAAACTGAATTACCATTCTTGGCTTTTTTACTCCATACCTCCGAAACGGTTGTACCTGTTTTTGCACCGTGCCAAAAACTAATCAGCACGTCTTACTATTAATATGAATCGAATGTTGTTTTGAACTATTCAAATTGGTTGATCCGTGGTCACGAAAATGCCGACGAAAATTTGTATCAGCGCACATAGATGCATTTTTTCTAAGGTATGCCAAAATGTTCAGAAAACTTTGAAAGATATATAAAAATTTTCATTTTCGATTTTTTGCGATTACTATAACTTACTCTACGGGAAGTTAATAATTAAGGACAGGATACATTACAATATAATGGGTTATTCTATACTACGAAATAGTGCAATAAAAGGGACTAGATTTTATTATTAACTTCCCGAAGAAGTTTATGTTTTCATAAAAAAATCCGATTCGCTAATTTTAAGTTTTCTCGACGTTTCAAGCCATTCTGAATCGAATGAGACCAAATTTGGAAAAAGTATGTGTGTGTGTGTGTGCGTGTGCACCAACAGATTTTTTGCCGTAAATCGCCGTTTTCTCAAAAACGGCCGGACCGATTTCAAACATTTAAAAGCCATTCAAAGTATCTCGATGAGGACTATTGTTTGTCAGTTTTGTGCGACGATCGGCCAAGCCGTTTCTTCGTAAATAGCAGAGAAGTGAAAAGTTTTTCGTCCACGTTTTAGCCCGCAGTTCTGAATCGATTTTGAAAATTCAAAAATCGTTCGAAAGATATTGGTTGGGAATCGACCTGATTAGTTTTTGGTAGAGATCGGCCCGGCCATTTTCTTGTAATAAAGTTAAAAAAAAAAAAATTCGACGATTTTTATGATTATTTTTTTGACGGTAGATACCATAGTCTTCTAGAATCTAGATCATACTAAAATATTACGGCCCTACGACAACTGGTTCAGCTTTAAAAATTCGTCAAAGTTTGCAAAAATTGGTATCGTTTTTTTGGCATTTGTCAAAATTAGACTTTTGATCGACGTTTTCTCAAAAACGCCTGAACCGATTTTAAAAATTTAAAAGCCATTTGATGTATTTCGGTGAGGACTATCGTTTGTCAGTTTTGTGCTACGATCTGCCAAGCCGTTTCTTTGCAATTTGAAAAAAGTGTTAAACTTTTCGTCCACATTTAAGCTCATCCTACCGAACCGATTTTCAAAAATCAAAAACTGTTCGAAAGATATTAGTTGGGAATGGTACTGATTAATTTTAGGTGAAAATCTACCGAGCCGTTTTCTTGTAATTAACTGTTGAAAAAAAGTGTTAAACTTTTTGTCCACATTTAAGCTCATCCTACCAAACCGATTTCTTGTAATTAACTGTTGAAAAAAAATTTAAGCCGATTTTTATTGAACTTTTTTTTGGCGATATACATCATGGTCTTATAGAACTCACTGTAATATTACGGCCTTACGACAAGCAGTTTAATTTTAAAAATTCGTCAAAACTTTGCTAAAATTATTATCGTTCATGTAACTTGCCTCAAGGCTAAATACCAAACCAACTAGTTGCTATTTTATATGAAGAGTGTTAAAATATATTTATATAATTTTATTAGACCAGGGTTGAATCTTAGGCGTTAACAATTCGACTTAAAATGATTTTCTGTTTACTCTATTTATTTCTACTTATGATTTTAAATTTCATTTGTATATTTGTATTTCAGTTCAATCCTTGTCAATATCTGACTCTCTCTTCGGCGGTTATTCGTTTGGCGGTGCACCAACACCGCCACCCGGTTCGCCGTACTCTCCTCTGCGATTGGAACTCTTGTCGAAAACTCTAAGTTCGTCGACAACTTCTTCTTGCATTACGACCGCCGCGGCGGCCGCCAATGACACGGCCTGTTGGATGGAGCCGCTTCAAGTCAAAACAGAAATACCGGGATGCAGTAGGACAACTCCGGCACATACTGCCCTTTTGCAGGTCGGTGAGATAAAGGTATAAAAATTGTACAATATTATGTTTTATATCAACTAAATATATGGTGTTAGGTTGGCAACTGATTGCGACTTTCACTCTTAGATGGTTTTAATTGAATTTTTAGGTTTGCCTAGTTCAAATGTAAAATATCTTTCGTTATTGAATAGTAGGCAATTAAGCTGGCAATCAGTAAAGAGAATTTTTTTATTGAAAGTCAGAACATCAAATCAAAAAATTTTGTCATAATTTGCTTCTTTATTTCTGCAAAGGTAAAATGGCATATAAGCTCACAAAAGCTGCTTATGATGACGAAGCCTTAAAAAATGGCATTGTCTATATTTGTTTGCCAACTTGCGTTCTGGTGATTTTTCACTCAAAGATGAAAAACGCTCTGATCGTCCAGTTGAAGTTGATTACAAAGACTCGATCATTTCTTACCTACCAACCAAAACGATGAATTCTGCTGTCTACATTGAAGAATTAACGAAATTTAACAACGCAGTTGAAGAAAAGCGGTCTGAATTGACAAATCTATCCGGTTTTATTTATTCCATTTTTAACATCAGATATCTTTGGCCACTCGGCAAAATATATATATTAAAAATTAAATTGTTAGCCTACATGTGATTTGCTCTTAAGACTTTTATTAATAAACATGACAAATGAGTCTTTTACTATTTATTATCTTGCTTATTTTCTAACGTGGACTGTACGTTTAAAATATGTTATTGGATCCTTGTAATTTATATCTACATATATAAAAATAAGTCGGGTTTTCCTTACTGACGAAATAACTCCAGAACGCACGAACCGACTTCGACAATTTTGCATTCGTTGGAAAGGTCTCGGGCTCCGCAAGGTTTATAGCTAAGAAAATTAGTGGTGCATGGCATCGTGCCTTAATGCAAATTGCTGGAACTTCACGCACCGTAATTAAAAATTCGAGTAATGGCATTAGTGAGAATTATCAGAATTATGCTTAGTTAAGTCAACGAGCAATTCTTGCCGCAACGACCAATGATTGCGACTGGTCTTCCGTTTGACTTCAAACGATTGCAATTTGCAGTTCCCCTTGCGTTCGCAATAACAAGTCGCAAGGCCTATCGCTTAGTGTTTGCGGGATAAATTTCAAATAGATTATTTAGAAAATCATTGTTTTTCACATGGGCAGTTATACGTTGCCTGTTCACGAGTTGGAAAACCATCCGCTTTGTTTGTGTTAACGTCAGGACAAAAAACAAAAAATGTGGTTTACCAAAAAGCACTTCAATGAAACAGATAATTTGCGGATTCACTTTTATTTACTTAAAGAAGTTCAACTAAAAAACACTTCATTTTTGTAATCAAAATAAATTCATTACTGTTGTGCAATAAAATCATTTTTTTTCTTTTCAAATATAAAACAAACAAAAAATTTCTTCATCTTTCTCACGAAACCATCTGGTGGCGAAACGGAGTTCGTCGGGTTTGCTAGTGATATTACAATACACTCTCGTAGCAAAAAAGGTTAAAGAAGAAATTCATCCAAAATAGATCAAATTGTTATAAGCCTTTTGAACAAATAACCACCGATAAACAGCTTTTCTTAACAAATTATAGATATAGGTATATGCACTTTATGCCAAACAGACCAGATTAAATATATTTCCACTTCTGGAAAAAGAAAATATTCATTGCTATTGAACTACGAAACCGATCAAAGTTTTAGATATTGTCTGGTAGAGCTGATCACTAGTTTGAAAAAAATATAAGAATAGCTATTATGACAACTATTCGCACAAATTAAAAGAAAAGTAACAAAAGTAGCCAGCAGGGTGTGCCACCTTATCTGTATATTATTGTGAGTAATAGACATAGAAACAATACATTTAGTGATAATTTTTTGTCTCAAATTAGTTTTTTTTCTGAATTAGATTGTTTCTTATAACACGAAAGAATATTTTGTTCATAATAGTAGAAAATAATTTTTATATTTAATATAAACAAAATAAAAAAAATGTCGACCATGACGGGATTCGAACCCGCAATCTTCGGATCCGAAGTCCGACGCCTTATCCGTTGGGCCACACGGTCATGTATAAACCACCCCATTGGCGGGTGGAAAATTTATTTATCGCCATGGAAATAATTTTTAAAATTGAAATATTTAAATTAAAACAAAGTTTCGCTGACAAATAAATTTTCCTCCCACGAATGGGGTTGCTTTTACATGGCCGTGTGGCCCAACGGATAAGGCGTCGGACTTCGGATCCGAAGATTGCGGGTTCGAATCCCGTCATGGTCTATAATTTATTAATTTTTTTTTATAAATACTATTATTATGAGCAAAATATTCTTTTGTGTCAAAAAAAAACAATGTAATTTTAAATATTCAAATTTTATTAATGTTTATAATTATATATTTTAATTTTGAAACATTTAAATTATAAATTTGTTTTTTTATTATTGTACATGCAAGCTATTGGTATATTGGTATATTGAGGAAAAGGTTTCGTATCTTTTTTCAAGCAAACTTTTTTAAACTGGTCAGAGTAATGAACTGACTTTTCAATTGAATTACTTATAATTCGAAACAAGTCAATTTTCTTGAAAATAAGTAAAAATTATCAGAAGTATTATTACCGTTTATGTCGTTACTACTTGCTTTGGTAGACGTTGCAACTAGCCCCAAAACGGTGTAACTTTCTCTAGACAATGATTAATTGTGAAAGAATGAACAACAGTTGTGGAATTATTTTTGCTTGAATTGATAGTGGAATAGTTACAGCAAAGATCCATTTTTATTTCGTTGAAATATAATCAGTTGATCCCAAAACATATTAATTAAAAAAAACTGTTACAACCAGCCTTTATCTTCTATAGTTTCAATAAGCTTGTATTAAATCTTACTCGGTTTTATTAAAATAGTTCAGATATGCAATTCAATAATATAACGGTGTCTATTTTCAACCAGGCTCTGGATAGGGACTATCTTTCTTTATTCGAATATAATTTCAACTTATCTAACTCTGTAGACATGCGTGTATTTTAATTGTATACGATAAATTTCATATGCAAATGTTTTTAAATGCATAATGCAACTTATTTCTAACCGGAAAACTCACAAAGCCTTTGAAAATCTCAATGTGCCGTTAGCGAAAGAGCGGAACGAGCTCTCCGATATAAATCCATTTATGTACCTTGCATATCATTTATATTATATAATTGGACATCTACTTTTAGTAGAACGTCTACTTTATTGATAATTTGTTAATATCCCTTGGCTGTGATTACAACTTAAATTAGAAATATGAATTGCGACGAATATGGGATTTTATCGTGTCGCCATAGATATATTTTACGAATATTATCATCATATATAGTTTAAATGGTATTTTGGCCGACTAATTCGATAAACATCAGTTTTGTAACTAAGCTGCAACATTTCAATATATGCTGTCTTGCCAAATATTGATATATAAATGATAATTTATTCTTATAAATGTTTTTCTTATATTTTATTTTATATTATGAATTCCAAAAAAACAAGTACAAAGTAAAAACTTGCAAGGAATGTGACCAATAAAATGCGATGTTCAATATCTTCAGCCAAAATCCTTAGGCAGTTAATAAATAAAATCATAGTAAGTTAATAAGTGTGATACTCGAAATTTGTTGACTTTTAACGATTGTTACGATTTGAATATTTAATAACTACTAAGGAACGTTTAAAATCGATTTATTGTTTTCTTTATCTTTCATTAATAATTTTTACGATTTCATCTTTTTTTCACGATTGATGTATTTTACATGAGGAGTGTAATTTTAATAATTTCCGAATCAATACTTTACTTTCTATAAAAGACTTGTGGGGAAATTGTTTTGGCTTACTTATCATCCATTTTTATAGGTAGGCTTTTATTTTTTTGTAGTTTTGTATTGTTTAAATAAAATCAATTCAATCGTTTATTATGTTAAGTTTACGTTTATGTTGAATAATCATTTAATATTATTTTTTATTTTTTAATTATTTAAAATATTTTATTTAATGTGGGGCTGATAGTAACCAATTCAACTTGTTGAAAGAATTTTTTTTAAATAATTTAATGAATTATATAATTAGATGGATTGATATTAAATTAAATATTTAGACTTTTTACAAAAGGAAGCAGAAAATTTAATATGATTAAGATCACAATAACAGACTAAACATCTATTTAATGTTTGTGGTTTTGAATCCTTAATTAATATTTATGGTATAATTTTCTTCGAGTTTTATAATATTGCTAACATATAACTCGCCATCATCAATAATTCTGGTGCAGGAGAAAGCAACCTAAAAACTTAGTGCAAAATATTCATTACATTTAAATGGTTTTAGGATGTATAGGTATCTACAATCACTTATGTCTCAATTATTTACATTTGTCTGCGTGTAAATGTTAAAATACTATCTTAAGTACGATGGATTATTCATAAAATTTCAATATACAATAAAAGGGCGAGTCTCACAATCGTCCACACTCCCAGGCTAAAAAACAATAGGTATAAACACCAAAATAACTTTTATTACCAGAAACGACTTTTGTCAGAAATTTATAATACAATACAACATAATCATTTAAAATAAGATTAACCTTTTTTATATTGAATTTTTCTTGTTTTTTTTAGTCTTCATTCGAAAAAGACAAGAACTATATGTCATAACAGAGACAAATCATCGTTATGATCGAGCTAAATTATTTACGCAAAAATTATTTGCTGGCAATTAACTATTAATGTTCAACTTATAGCAAAATTACAATCAAAGTAATCTTTTTGTATATAAGAAAGCAATAATCAGAACTTGTTTGAACAATTATACTTCATCTTTCTCCCCTTGGACCCTATCTAAAAATCAGTATAGCTATTATAACGCAATGAGCTTGACAAGAGACTGAAATAATATCGATTATTATTGATTACGACTTGCCTATGAATAAATAAATAAATAAATAAATAAATAAATAAAAATAAACGACTCTCACTACTATGGCACGTACCCAGTCTCCCCTAATGATAATAATATTTTATTTCGAATGCATGACTTAAGGTTAGTTGTATTTACTATTTACTTGAAATATTTGAAATAATATACTTGAAATTTGTAAATTGAGGTAGAATATTGGTACTAGTTGTGAACGTGTTGAATCATCACTATAAGTAATACAAAAGAATCTAATTATAGAACAGTTATGTTATATATGAATTATAAAGTGACAAACGTGTTATGCTTTTCGAAAAATGAAACTGTTTGTTAACTTCCCGTAGGGTAAGTTATAGTAATCGCAAAAAATTCGAAAATGAAAATTTTTACATATCTTTACGTTCAGGGGTTCGTGTATGTATGTGTGTGCGGATACAAATTTTCGTCGAAGATTTCGGGAACACGGATGAAGCAATTTGAATAATTTAAAAAACATTCGATTAGTATTGATAAGGAGACGTGCTGATTAGTTTTTGGCGGAGGTAGGTCTAGCCGTTCTGAAGATATGGGGCAAAAAGTGCCAAAAACGGTACCTCAGTTTTTAAGAGAACGGAGCGTCCGATTTTAATAATTCAAAAAACATTTTACTTGTATTGACAAGATGAAGATTTGATCAAGTTTTCATAAGGGCAGGTCTAGCGGTTTCGGAGCTCTAACAAAAAAAGTAAAAAAAAATGCCATTTGGCGGTCAAAAATGATCATTAGACATATGCACATCAAATTATCAGATATTTTATAGAGATTTTAACAATAAGTATAAATTTTGTTTCCATTCCTATGGGTTCCGTACCAATGTTTATGCGTTAGACGGTGGCGCGGCGCTTTATATTTTGTCTCTATGCAGTTAAAGCAGTACGATTGCTTTGAAAAAAAATTCAGATCTTCCAACATATGTCAAAATAAAGAAAACATTTTTTTCAAAATTTCAAAATCATTTTTTTCAAAATTTTTTTTTTTCAAAAAAAAGTATTTTTTTGTCAAATTTATAGTTTCTCAAAAATGTTATTTTTTCGAAGTAATTTTTTTTCAAAAATTTTAATCGTTTTTAAAAAAATAATATTTTTTGGTACGGGAAGTTCCAGCAATTTGCCTTAAGGCACGATGCCCTAATTGCCTTAAGACAGAATTCCACTTACAGCTAGTTTTATGTAATAAAGTGTGACTGAACCCTCCATAGCAAGATAGTGACTCTTGCAGACGCTTTTTGCGATTCATATGGACTTCACATGGACTGAGCATGTATCGCTCTCTCTACCGAGTTGAAGTGGCTACAAACCTGCATATCAGGTTTTAGAGTTAGGGTCTTTTCACGCTGAATGATAGATGCCGGATTTAAGAAAAATTTCTTCATTGTTTGTAAAGTATTTGGCCCAGATGTGCCAAAATGAATCAAAACCCCTAGCGATGAAATGTTTATGATACTGCACAATCAAGACGCCGCGACCACTTAATGATTACGTAGCCCATTAAGCGGCTGTGGCGTTAGGTCTTTGTGTGGAAAGATTCTAAACGTACTTTGATATGTCTACAGTATTTTATATGAATATATTTTATTTTCTCGGACAGGTGAAACGCGAACCACAGGCCACACCTTGCCAGGTCTCGGAAATCAGCACCTCCCATCATAATCAACATCATGCAAACGGTGGAGGTCCGGCCGATGCATCTCTCGCGACCGCCTTGGTTAAAATGGAGGCAAACACATCGCCTAAATCCTCGGACCAAGGTCAGCATACTAACGACTCTCCAAATTGCTTAATTAAGTGTCAATTTTTTCGAACCTGAAACTAAATGTTGTGTATAAGTTAAGTTTTCAATTTAGCACACAAATTCAACTGTTAGAAAATCGACACATGTTGTAAATATTGGAATCAAACTAACTTTATTATTTTCTTTGCAGTCGGTTCATATTATTTTAGCAAATGCCACAAAAGAATGATTTGTATTGTCTAATAAAATATCTATAGAAACATAGTGATTGAATGTTCGCGGCGGAGAATAAAGTTCTTACTAAAAGCATTCCCACTTCTTATTCCAACTATTGATTTATTAAAAAAAATGTGTTAAATACTATGAGTACTAACTAAAAATTGCCGTCACGGTTATCGCTTATAAAAATATGGTCAGCTTACTAGTAGGAATTTGTTCTTATTTTCCCGAAGGAAAAGTTTGTTTTCATCAAATAATCCGTTTCGCTAATTTTATGTTTTCTCGACGTTTCAAGTCATTCTAAATCGAATGAGACCAAATTTGGAAAAAGTGTGTGTGTGTGAGCAGATTTTTTTCCGTAAATCGACGTTTTTTCAAAAAACGACTGGACCGATTTTAAAAATTTACAAGCCATTCGATGTATCTCGATGAGATTATCGTTTGTCAGTTTTGTGCGACGATCTGCCAAGCTTTTTTTTTGTCATTTGGCAAATCGATTTAAAAAAATCAAAAACTATTCGAAAGATATTAGTTGGGAATGATACTGATTAGTTTTAGGTGAAAATCTACCGAACCGTTTTCTTGTAATTAACTGTTGAAAAAAAAATTAAGCCGATTTTCATGAAACTTTTTTTTGGCGATATATATTATGGTCTTACAGAACTTACTGAAATATGACGTCATCAAAGTTTGAGAGAATGAGTAGTTTTTTTAGCATTTGTTAAAATTAAAATTAGACGATTTACTTGATATAACGATAGAGTACTTGGTCTTAATGAACATACTAAACCATTAAAATCTTACGGAAACTCGGTGCAATTATAAAAATGGTTGAATTTTGAAAATTTGCTTTTAGAAAATCCGAGTTAACGTGTTCGTTCGTTTTCAATCATATGTAATAAATCCATTCGAAATACTTTTAATCACTCATAAATTAATTTATTTTTTATTGATTAAGTTGATTATTTACACATATCGGGAAGTTCATGTTTATATACGTTATTCTAAATATTGTATACGTTTATTCTTAATCTAAATAAAATTTAATTTAATTTTGGCCTTTTCAATACAATATTAAAAATACTACAAATATCGAGTTCACAATTCAAAATGCACAATTTTGAATAACAAGAATTCACATTCAAAACTTTTGCAAATTAATCTCAAAGTCTTTACTTGTATACATACAGCGCAGCAAAATAGAACTTTTCATAAAGGTTTTAGTTTATGAAACACGTAAATGTAAAAAAATAATAAAACGCATGAAAGCCTAATGCAAATCAAGTATTTGTTGTGATTGTCAATATTAGAGTTATATTGTTAGACGTATGTTTTATGAGTATCAACAGTTATTATTTGGTATTTTTTAGGAGTATCCTCGATCCCTGTGGGTATTGCGGTCGCAAGGCAACGGCTCAACCAAGAGGTGCCACTAGCACTGGCGCCAGGCACTCAGATCATAGGGGCCACATCGACTAAGGAAACGAGGTGCAGCGAAATTGGTGAGCTATTAAATGATGTTGACGTGGAACTAAAATGATATCGATGATACATGAGCTAAAATTCAAACCAAACTAGCTGTAAGTGGAATTCTGTCTTAAGGCAATTAGGGCATCGTGCCTTAAGGCAAATTGCTGGAACTTCCCGTACCAAAAATTATTATTTTTTTAAAAACGATTAACATTTTTGAAAAAAATTTACTTCGAAAAAATAAGATTTTTGAGAAACTATAAATTGGACAAAAAATCTTTTTTTTGAAAAAAAAAAATTTTTTTTTTAAATTTTTTTAAAAAAAAAAATTTTTTTTTATTTTTTTTTTGAAAAAATGTTTTCTTTATTTTGACATATTTTGGAAGATCTGAACTTGTTTTTCAAAGCAATCGTACTGCTTTAAACTGCATAGAGACAAAATATAAAGCGCGTAAGCGCGGCGTCGCTGTCTAACGGGTAAACATTGGTACGGAACCCATAGAAAAATAAACAAAATTCAAACTTATTTAAAATCTCTATAAAATATCTGAAAATTTGATGTGCATATGTCTAATGATCATTTTTGACCGCCAAATGGCATTTTTTTTTACTTTTTTCGTTAGATCTCCGAAACCGCTAGACCTGCCTTTATGAAAATTTGATCAATTCTTTATCTTGTCAATACAAGTAAAATGTTTTTTGAATTATTAAAATCGGACGCTCCGTTCTCTTAAAACCTGAGTTACCGTTTTCGGCACTTTTTGCCCCGTATCTCCGGAACGGCTAGACCTGCCTTCGCCAAAAACTAATCAGCACGTCTCCTTATCAATACGAATCGAATGTTTTTTGATTTATTCAAATCGGTTGATCCGTGTTCGCGAAATCGTCGACGAAAATTTGTATCCGCACATACATACACACACATACATACATACATACACACACACACACACATACACACACACACACACACACACATACATCCATTTTTTCTAAGGTATGCCAAAATGTTCAGAAACCTCTGAAACGTAAAGATATATAAAAATTTTCATTTTCGATTTTTTTGCGATTACTATAACTTACCCTACGGGAAGTTAATAAACATGGCGTTGTTCATATCATTAATTAAAATTGATCATTGAAATTGAATTGAATCAAATTGAAAAAACTGTTTTCAAATTTAAAAAAATCTTTGTTATTTCATATTTTCTGCCTTTTCATATATGTGTGTAAAATGGTATACATTGATTTGATTATATACATTAATTGCTAATGCTGATTTTAATATAGGATAGTAATTTATTTCAGATAGTTTCAGTAATTATACTTTCTAAACCAACGGAACTTGCATAACACGTATCAAACAGACAACTATCGAACAATGTTCAGTAAAATTCTTAATTAGGTCATGGTTATAAAGCTAAGTTTTTTTTAAAATTTGTCATCTGCCCTTTTTTACCCCATAGGCAGAGTAAAATGGAAGTGCTAGAGAAAAGAATGATCCAATATCCAATGTTTTATTTTAAATGTTGAAATGATTAACGAAATAGTAACTACGTTATGGAACTAATGTGAAATTCAAATGTCACGGGCTCATTTTTTTTACAAAGATCACACTGTATTTCAACTTGATCTGGTATTTAGTCTGATATATATATATATATATATATATATAATATATCAATATATTGGAATTGATCTATTAATATAACTATTAATAAAATTGCTTTTTCAACTTATTGTTAGTTTGCTTTCTTATTTACCATTTTCTTATTGTTTATGCTTTTGCCAGTGTAAAGGTTTAATTGTTTTTTTTTACCCCACGCACATGTAAGTTTTTATAGAGGCTTTATGGCGATTGAATCTAATTTAAAAATAACGATACATCTTATAAAACAATGCAATAACGTATACTTTAAAATTCTATTCAAATATCATTAACTAAATAAAACAGCTCAAAACCAAGAAAACTACCAAAGACAAAAAAAAACTTTTGTTAAGAATATTATTACATGTCCGTTTATCTCCAGATATCGATGTAACCCGATTTAATGCGATGGAGTCACACTTCTTTTTTTCTACTGAAATAGTATCGTTGAAAAATTACAAACTTTATTTATTTTGGAGATAATGGTAGTGAACTTTTTTACCCGCGGACCTTTAAGCCTCGCTCTACCTTATAATATTAATATAATATATAATAAATATTATATTAGATTCTTATCTGAAATTCTTAATCAAACGGTTGATTATATCACATCTCAAGAATATGCGTCCAAAATATTGGATTAGAAAACATTGCTTATTGCAAAGTAATCAGTAATTAGTCAGTAATCTGATGGAAAGCAATTATTTACGCTGATTATCTAAAATATATTTTTTGAATTATTGTAATTATTATAACCATGCATTTAAAATTGGTTTGATTGGTAAATTATTGGTTTGATTTACCCTGGATTGAGACGTATGAATAATGGCCATTGCACCTACGCTATTAAAAGACTATCTTTCATTCAAATACTTCAGACGACTAATATCATATCACTAGAAGTTTTTATTTATTTTGGTATTATAATCCACAATTCGGTTATTTTTATATATATTTCGACATTATGTAATAGAAGGTTTAGTTAGACACAATAACATTTTTTAAGTGCATGCATTATTTCATATTATTATCAAGCAAATCTAATATTGAAATATCAAATCGAAATAAAAAAAATTGTTATTCTGAAAGGTTTACGAGATCCTTCAGGTTTAATTCCTTTGGGAGCTGACACCATAATAGGGACATCCGTGCCATCAGTTTGGCCTGTTAGCACGACGCAGACTTCACTAGGACCTCCAACACTTTGGCAGTATCCTGGTGAGTAAATTAAAATTTAAACAGTTTTGATAATTATAATTATGAATTATGATTTAATTTAATAACAAATTAAGATTTATGTGTATAAAACATATCTATTATTTATTTATATTATTGCATAATTATAGCCCAGTTGCCCTTGGAGCCAGTGTTACCTATGCCTATGCCTCCTGTAGGTGTTCAACTAGTGAGGGATCCTTTGACTGGAAACTTCATATTACTACCTACACCTACTGCTTTAGGTATATAATGTATATATTTATTAAAATATTTATATTCGAAATTTTGGAAAAAAAAGTATACATACTTATTGTTAGAAGATGTTCTAAGTTATTATTCTAAATCGAGATATGTTTTTCTTGTTCCAACAGAACCGTTCCAGCAAACCGTCGTATGGCCGAATTATCTTCTACCCTCCCCTCTCTTCAACCGCTACAATTGTCCGAATATTTGAGTACTGGCAGTGCGACCACATTACATCAACATCATCACACGCAGACGCACAGTACCAGATTGGTAGCGTTGGCATCGGCTGATGCGTCAGGGTTGCCTAAGACTAGAACTACGCGCATGACTTCAGTGAAATTGGAAGAAACGTCTCCTGGTAAACAAGAGGCGGTTGTAACAGCGCATTTGGTTTACCATCAAGATGCTGGTACAGGTGATTGCATTATACTTGTTTTGATGATTAACGCTTTTTATTCTCAATTCGTTTAGACAGAACATTCAATTTTTTTTTATTAAATCAAATTCATTATGTAATATATAATAGTTTAAATATATATATATATATCCTAGGAACTTCCCCGGTCGCTTGCCTGACTCCACCCCCTGAAACAGTAGAACCTGATGTACAAGATGCATCGAATCAAACTGATGATGCACCGTTGCATAGTGACGAGGACACTCAGTCTGCTGAAAAAGGAACTATCTGCGAACCCGAAACGGTACCCGAACAGCAAATAGCTTCAACTATATCTGTGATAGAACCCCAACCTGTGATTTTAAATTTATCCAAATCCGAAAAGCGTGAACATGTTCCGACTGAAACAAAACCTGGAGTAGAGGAGTTGGTAACTTCAACTGAAACGATTGTACAACAATCAGAAGTTTCTTGTGAAATTGTTGCTAAAGAGGAAATCGTAGAGATGCTGACGCCTAAAGTTGAAGCCAAAGATGACCATAGACCAGTAATTTCCGCTGAAAAATGTGAACAAGTGGAGGTTCAAAATAAACCAGATTTAAGTGGTCTAGAATTACTTTCAAACAGCATTGAAGAGTTTGAAACTCGTGCGATACATGACACAGCTAGTCCCGGATGTAATAATCAACAAAATGTTGAAGATGAAAACTCAGAATTAGATGGCCTTGGACTTCTTTGCGCTCTCGCCGAAAAACGATTTAGAGAAGAAGTGGATGTTAAATCGCAATTAGAAGATAAGTCTTGCGAAATCAGATTTGATGAGTTAAAACGTGATGATATTAATAAGCAGTCTCATGAGAGCGACGAATGTCAGGCGGAAACAACCATCTTTGCTCGTATATGAAGAAAAACTTGCCGAATTGAAACGTCAATATAAAGAAACCTTGAAACAAATGACGCGTCTAAAGCCAGCCGAATATCAAAAATATGATCTTTCAAACGAAAATACAGAAATCAAAAGTCTGGAATTGAGTCCTATGTCAACAGAAGTATTGAAGACGCCATCGCCTTGTCCATCGACATCATCGTCTAAAAAACGAAAAGTTGGAAGGCCGAAGAAATTATCATCGGGGCACGGCAGACGGGTTACGACAGAAACTATTTTTGCAAAAAAACCAAAGACCAAAGGTGGAATTGTTGGTTATCTTTTATCAGGCAAAAGCACAATGAGTAAAGGCGGAATCATATATACAAAATCAAATCCTCGTTCAGATGAAGAAGACAATCGCGAGCTAGCGATGATAAAAGTAGATTCTAAAGATAATGAGTCTTGTGTAAAAGTAGAGTGCCCTGAAGAAGATGAAATTATCAACGAAGAAGAAAGGCAAGAACAAAGACGCAAAGAAAGGCGCGAAAGAAAACATAAAAATAAAAGATCAAGAGAAAAGCGACGACAAATGAAGGCCGCGAAGAAAGCAGAGCCTCTCTTAAAATGTGCATTGACTGATGAGCATCTTGAAAAAGATGGATTAAGAGTTTTGTGTGCAATGGGTGGATTATTTTATGCGGGTAGACTGAGTGCTGTGCAAGCACCTGATGTATACGCAGTGACTTTAGATGGAGAAAGGGGTAATCGGCCGCACATATTGTCAAGAGAGGAAATAATGCGAGATGCGGTAATATATTAATATTTTTGATCATATTATATTGCATTTCTTGTGTATTAAAATTTCTTGTCAATTTGTAATCGTAATTTTAGTAATAATGATCATATATTTCAGTTTCTTGAGTTGTGTCCTTCGTCAGTGAATGAAGTTCCACCGGGTACCCGACTATGCGCTTATTGGAGTCAGCAGTATCGGTGTCTTTATCCGGGCACGTCCGCTTCGCCTGAAGGTACTCAACGCGATGCGGACCGATATATTTCCGTAGAATTCGATGATGGTGACAATGGTCGCATCGCACTAGAAGATATAAGACTACTTGAACACGATTATCCTATAGTTGGTGAGTTAGAATATTAATATCTAATAGAAATTCTTACAATTAGACTTATATATTAGTTATAAATTTTATAATTTTCTGTACATTAGAATATGATCCAAATCCTTTGCTATCTTTGGGAAAACGAAAGAGGCGCGCTAGCCGCTCAGATACGGTCGAGACGCAGATCAATAAAATAATAAAAGAAGAGGATGGTACCGAACTCGAGGATCTCGATAGCACATCATCTCCGACAAGCACATGTAAAGTACAAATGTCCGACGAAGAAGCCCGCAGGGAACGCAAGCGAATGAGAAAGTTAAAGAAACGACGCAGGGAGGAGGAAGGTGAATACCAAATTAACAACAATTTTAATTAATTCAGATTTTAATGTTCTTTATTAACTTCTCGAAGGAGAAGTTTATTTTTGAGAAAAAATTCGCTTTCCTAATTTTAAGTTGCAATTGAGACTAAATTTGGAAAAAAATTATGTGTGTATCTGAGGTGATTTTTGACCTAGCGTTAACGTTTTCTCAGAAATGCCATTCGATGTAACTCGATACAGACTAGCGTTTATCAGTTTTGTGCAACGATAGGCCGAACCGTTTCTTTGTAATTGGCAGTAAAGTGTATAATTTTTCGTCCACGTTTTAGCCCACAATTTTTAACCGATTTTAAAAATTTATAAATTGTTCGTAAGATATTGATTCGAAATTGCTTTTATTAGTTTTTGGTCCATATTGGCGGGACCATTCCTTTGTAATGAAATGTTCTAAAAAAATTTTTTTAACGATTTTTATGAAACTTTGTATAACGATAGCCTTTGTCTGAAATCACATACTAAAATATTATATGCCTTGGATAAAGTATATGTATACGTTCTGTATTGATTAGTGTGTAGCTACTGATTACAGTTGACATCTACACTTAAATAAAATACATTTGTAGAACAGGTAATCAATGTAATAAAATGAATCAAACAAATTAATTCAATTTCTTAACTAACATCATTTGATAATCGCAGTGATTAATTTTTAGTGAAGGCGAAAATGTTATTTTCGAAATAAACAGTTGAATATTTTACCTAAATACAGGAATGCCCCGTTTAACGCGGGGAATACGTTCCATCAAAGTAGAGCGCAATGCGAAACAGCGCTAAACGAAGCTATCTTTACATGGAAATATTGTGGTTAGAGAAGGACGGCTAGGAAATTGGTTCCGTATTACATTTAAAGAGTATGTTATTTTTACTAAAAACAAAACCAAACATTTATTTAAAGCCCAAATTAATACTACATTATTATTTCTTGCAAAAATAAAGACAAAATATAAATAACAAAACGAATATTCTTGAAAAAACAAATAACATTCTAAGTCAGTCATATCTAGTTAGCCTTTCGCGTTTTCAGTGTTTTGCCATTTTGTGACAAAATCATCTAATATTGTTTCACTTTTTCTTTTGCTCTTAAAAGTTCATCATAAACGGATAGGGCATCTCTAGCATCATGCCTTACTTTAGAGCTCCTGTTAAAATTCGAATCAATTTTCAATTATTGATCCATTATTTCAGTTATGGTAGACAAACTCCTTTTTACAAACACCATCGAAAGTTCTTTTTGCTTTTCTGCTGAATGACTGCTGTCAACATTTTTGTTTTCTTCTTGTTCAGTTCATGCCTTGAGCTCGCAATGAGAAAGACTGTGCGTTTCTTGAATTATTTCTTCGACGTCTTCCTCATTCGTCCCTTGAAAACCTGGGTTGAAATAAAAGAGCGATAAACGATACGGCGTTAATCGGGGTGTTACTGTAATTGAATCTCAATTCTTATTGATTAAGTTCATTAGGCGCATTGGAAAGCTCACGCAACTTGCCTTAAGACAAAATGCTAGTTGCAACTAGTAATATTAAATCATTCCAGCTGGAGAAGATGAAGGCGAACGTAAACGTCGCAAAAACATCGATGCCGTGACGAATCCTGCAAAAGGCGTCATCATAAGAAACATCGTAGACATAGGCACAGACATCGCTCTTCTTCACCACCATTAGCCAATCCATTGTCGATTCAGCAGAATCAGTCAGCTTCGGAAAGGACTGAAATCGTTCGTCGCAGCGCATTTGGAGATACATTTATGTCCTCTAGGAATGCTGATTCGACCAATGTAAATATTATAATAAATAATCTGGTTTTATTTTTAAAGTCACTTATGTTATATGTAAATTGAGAGGAAAATGTTATATATTTATTTGTATTACAATGGCAAACTACTAAATATAGGTCATGAATATGCATTAATTGCGATTATTTTGATCTCAGAATCTTTAATTTAAATAATTTCACAATATTCACTTGTACACATTTATCTTTTTATATAGATATGTCAACAAATTGCAAACTAAAATAGAAGTTAGAATGATAGGTAATATTAGGTTGTCAAATATCTCCCTTCCGCTTTTTTGCTCTTGGTTTATAATATAAAAAGCGGAAGGGAGATATTTGAAAACCTTATATAATTAAAATGTTTAAATAGAATTAGTGAAATAGATAATATAAAACATAGAGCTTGAATATGAACTTAGTAAGCAAAAGAAATTATTATTTATGATTCAATATAAAAGGATAATCGTCTACTTCATTGAATTTGTTATCAACATTTTTATAATTATTATTAAGATAATGTAACTATTTTATAGCATGAAGACAAAGCTGATTCCAAGGAAGACGAGTTGCTCATAGAAGCATGTGTTGAAGAAGAAAGCAATGAATCTTCGCAGTTGAATGATACAACAGAAGAAAGTGTCAAAGTCCTATGGCTGCATTTCTTCCTGCAAGACATTGGACTTGGCACAGGGAGCAAGGAAGGAAGAAAGGAGATAAAATAAGAAATATTTTTCGGAGTGCTATACAGAGAGGTCATGAAGTTATTTTGTAAGTAATAATTTGTAGTTTTTATTGAATTTAATATTTAGAAAATTAAAAATATTAATTAAGACACAAATTTTTTTTGCTCCAGTTTAAGAAAATTAGTTAGTCATATTGTAACCTTCAATTAATATGGCAATTAGTTCTTGTTAACTAATTTTCAATAGAAAATAAATTGATGATACACATGATAAAATGAAAACAATTATTACATCAACCAAATCAAATTTGTCAAATTTCAGGTGGGTGATTGTGCTGTATTTTTATCAACTGCTAGCCCAACTCGACCTTATATTGGACGCATTGAATGTTTATGGGAGACAACTAGCAAAAATAAAGTTAGGGTTCGATGGTTTTATCATCCCGAAGAAACGTATGAATGCCCAGCAGAGCAACTAAAATATCCTGTGAGTATTTTGTTTTTATTTATTCCTGTAAATATTATTTATGTATTTTGAATCTACGCCGATCTACGCCGCCAGCTTGTTACATTCAATAAATTATTGGTAAACTTTTTTTTAAATAATTGATTTAAAAGTAATTACTTATGAATAGTATTATGACATATGGTTTTTTATTCATTTTAGGGCGCTCTATTTGAATCACCACATATTGATGAGAATGATGTGCAAACAATTTCTCACAAATGCGATGTGTTGGATGTAGTAAAATATATCAATCGTCTTGGAATGGATCCAAGTCGTTACTCAACCATATATGAAAACAATGATACATTCTATATTGCTGGTCATTATGAGCCAGCTTCTAAAGTACTCTCAATGCTTCCAGGTGTACCTTTATTAGATTTGTAAGTCATAAGATTTATTTACATACGCTCCACACATGTTTGTGCGGCCAAATTTCAAATAAAAATTAAAATCAAATGTATAAACTGAATCAATTAATATGTATTAAATTATATGAAAAAAATGTCCTTAAAAGTAAACTATTTTATTAGGTATAACCACAGAAGTAAATACCTATAAAAATACATAATATAAGTTTACGAATATGCTACATATATACACATGTATATATATATATATATATATATATATATATATATATATATATATATTATTTAATGATACTATATAATATAATTTTTTTGTTTGATATAGCTTTGTATGTTGTTAAATATTACAGCTGGTTAGCAGTATTACTTACTAACAGATTATTACTGCTGTGTCTGATACTTATCTTTATTACATCAATGAAATGGTAAAAAAGTTATAATAAATTATTGCAGGTCTATAATTTTATATTTTTGTAGTTATTTTAATAACGAGATAGCTTGTATAAATGTAGTTTTCTATTTTTGATGAAAAGATGTTTTGCTCATGTAATTATTACTGTGTAATATAAGTAATATGTTAGTAATATAGTCCGGCATACAATTAAGCATCTAAATACAGAATATGAACTATTTTAATAAATATAAAGCAATCTATAATAGGAAGAGTTTTTATTGTTTGTAGTATTTGCAGTTATATCAAGCAAGATTAGGTAAAGTATCATGTGAATTACTTTTTTAGATAAATCTTTTACATTTTCTTTTTTTCTTACGTTTCTGAATTTAATTATTAATGCATTGAATAAATATTTTAAATTCTGTACATTTGCTGTTGATATAGCGGTTCCTTCGACACACGCTCATGCATCTATGGTTTTGACTATTTTATAAAGGCATCTAAACTTTATTAAGAACTGGACAAAAAAACAGTGGATAAAATCAACAAGCAAGCAAGTTGAATCATGTGACAATCATGTTGAACAAGACAACATGCTCAGGAGTGCAAATTTATGACCAGACAATACTGATTGTGTCAAATAACTAGATGCAGATTGACATGGAACAATCAAATTTGCACAAAATTAAAACTTCTAAGAATTCGAACAGTTGAATTATCCTGTCTTTCTATTGTCAATTAACTCTTGATAATAAGCTATTAACTTACAAGGGGCTGTGCGAGCAAATCAAATATTGTGTTAGTGTGCAGTCTAAAATTTTGAGACAGACCACCAATGCTTCATGGTTTGTCAGCAATAGACCTTACATGACGATCTTAATACAGAATTTATATTCAGAGTAATAACTCTAACCAGTGTTCAACATTTTCTAAAACTAGTCTCAAGAAGATTCAAAAATAGGTTTCAAAAGATGACATGATGAGCAGAATCGTCGAAGTGGGTAGAAGATACAAAATGGAAATCAACATAGACAAGTCGAAAGTGATGAGAATCACAAAAAGAAATAGTTTCCTGAGGATAACGGTGGGAAATCGAGAATTGGAAGACGTGGATTACTTCAAATACCTGGGAAGCATACTGACCAGAGGCTGCACGAAAGAGATCAGGACAAGGATCGAAAGCGTCAAGGCGGCATTCACAAAGAAGAGGATGCTATTGTCGAGCAAACTGAGTCTTGACTTGCGGAAGAGACTAATAAAGTGCTACGTGATAGCTCTGTACGAATCGGAGACATGGACTCTAAGAAAGGCCGATAAGAACTACCTCGAGAGTTTTAAATGTGGAAATGAGGCGAATGGAGAAGATAAAATGGACAGACAATATAACAAATAAAGAAATTGTG